CCAACGCCCCCGCGCGCAGCCGCTCCCGCCTCTTCAGCAACAAGGTGGGCTGCGCCGCCGCGCCCCTGCAGCCCGCCTGAGCGCCCCGAGACCGCGGGCCGACCCACCCCCGCCCTGGGCAGGGCTCCGTGGACTTCTGAAGCCCCCTCCCGTCCCGTGGACGGCGACCGTGCTCGCCCTCGGGGACCACGTCTCTGTCCCCACCCCCTCCAAACCCAGCACCCCCCCCCGCCGCCGCAGAGCTGCCCTGCACTCAGGTCTGCACCTGACTCAGCGGGACCCTCCCGACCCAGGGTCTGCCGCCACACAGCCCCCAGAGCCTGAGGTCCCCAGAAGCCAAGCCCGTCCTGAAGGGAAATGGGATTTCTTCAAAAAGCCGCCCACCGCAATTGTCATTGGTTTGGCAATCTGTCTTGAGGACACTAGTGAAGAACCGAAATACACGTCCTTCCAAGTGCTCTGGAATATGTCTTTTGTTCTGCAAACTCTCAGCTTCCTGTCAGAGGGGGGAGGGGTTCCCGGAACCGGGGGCCTCACACACCCGGCCTGGGCCTGCCCCTCCTCGAGGGGCTGGTGAGGGGCTGCGGCCCCATGACCCCTGCAGTGTCACTCATGTGGGGAGTGGCCACGGGAGAGGCCAGGGAGCAAGGAACCGGCCCTTCGGCCCGTCTGGGGGACGACGGGGATCCGTCACCCCTGCTTTGGAGCTCGCAAGTCCGCATGAATCGAGGAGGGCTCTTGCCTCCGGCCTGGGTCTGCGGTAGAAAGGCCGGGGCACTAGCCGCCTGGCCGCGTGCGCAGGAGCCAGCCCGACGCTGCGCGCGGTGAAGGCGTGGGCATCACTCCCGAGAGCAGCTGGAGTCCTCGCCCGGAGGGGCTTCACGGGGCAACGCGGCCCGGGCTCGGAGAGGCCCCGACGGGAGCCGCCCCAACTGCCCTCTCATCCCCCGAAGGGGGCGCTCTGCCAGCCCTCGCCTGGTGCAGGAGAGGCAGCTTGGCAGTGTCTGCGGTTGAGAGCTCAGCATCTCGCCCAGGACAGGAGCCTCTGGTGCAGAGGAGCGGGCACCGCCCTGCATTCACGCAAGAGCCATTTCCTCAGCAGGATGCGCGGCAGGACCCGTGTTCCCCAGGGTGGCCAGGTCCAGGCCTGACGGCGGGTCCCCCCCGCCCCCCCAGCCCATGAATACATACAGGATTGGCACCGGGGGCAGTAGGAAGGGACGCGTACCTTTGTGACTGTGCTCTAGGCCACGCCCCCAAGCCCTGGGAACCCGGGGGCCTCCCCAGGAAAGCAGGCTGGCTGGCGAGAAGCACGCGCGGCCGCATCCTTGGCCTCGAGCGGTACCGGTGCTCCCGCCTCTGGGAGCCGTGCCTGGGGCGCGGGCTGCCTGGCGGGGCCCGCAGCTGCGGCTGCAGCGGCTTGCCCACCGGCGGGGCTCCCGGGAGGGCCGGCAGACGGCCCACCTGGAGTACCTGCGCCAGCATTTCCACTGCGCCGACAGAGAGGCGGCTTGAGTAACCAGACGCGCACCGACGCTCACAGCCGCTGCTGCGCTCCTGCTCCTACGTCACCTCAGATGCCCCATCTTATCCACGGGCTAGGATGCACCCGGGGGAAAGAGCCCCGGGTGCGGATCATAGCACGGGAGCTGCTGGAGATTGGTTCTCCCGCCTGCCTCTCCTGGAGAGAGTAGGAAACGGAAACCTGTTTGTCGTTTGGTTTTTGTATTCATACAGCAGAATAAATTTGGGTGATTTTTATTTCTACAACACACAAGACTTTGTTAGATGTTGAGGGTGTTAAGACCAGATGACCAGGTATTCTTTGCCCTTGATAAATACGGCTGGATGGGGGTGGGGGGAAGGACAGAAGTACTTATGGACACATGGGCAGGAAACGGGCGGGGAAGTGTCACCAAAGCCAAGAGCAGACGGAATTTCACAAGAAAACGATCAGCATCAGATGTGAAGAGTGCAGACATCCGCGTCCCACTCCTGCTCGGAGTCCTCTAAGGGCCTGGGCATTCAGCCACTCCAATCTAGACCCCCTGCCTTTCAGGGAGCTCTGTAGTTGGACTCCGCAGTCCTTTCCACCTCATCCTCTGCCCCACCCTCTGGTGGGCCTAGAACGGCCGTGACCTCATGAATATGGCACACTTGGCCTGTTCTACACCGACTATTACCTGCTCATTGGTCCCAGGTCTGGAATGTTCTCCTTTCTTCTCAAACTCTCGGAGAGTCTGACAGGAAGCTGCGATGCCTCCAAGGCCCACCTCCTCTGTGACTCTTCTGGCCTCAGCCCACTCCTGTTTACTTGGGGACATTTTCATCACAAATGCCCTTTGCTGCTTCTCTTGCCCTCCAGAGCTGGGAGTGGCACTTGGTCACTGCCTGTCTAGTTTCACACACCAGCTGGAGGCAAAGCCGGGACCAGAGCCTGTCTCCGGACTTGGGATGGGCAGCCCTCCTTACGTGAGAACTGGCTGAAGTGATGTCAGAGCCCCGCGAGCGTGCTTCTGCTTTCCAGCCTTTCTAGGGTCACTAAGAATGCATCTGGGAAGCTAGAAGCCATGCCTGGCCCAAGACCAGGACAGTAACTAGTTAGCCAGAAGCTGCAACTCAGGCCCGAAGTCCGAGGATGACATGGTCCCGGCGAGGCTGGAAGACCCCCCGCATCACCTCGGCCGTCAGCCACTTCACCACCACCAGCGCACCCCCCTTCCCCTCCCACGCAGGCTCCTTCCCCGCCATCAGCTCCAGCTCTGCTTTCTACATTTCATCTTTTTATAACAGACATCGATGTGGCTTTCAATTTCTTCACAGAACGCCATGCAAGCACACGTCTTGAATCCAAATGAAGCTCTAGACACCCAGACATTTTCAATACTTAGAACGGTTTAGGAGTTTGAGCAACTTATTGCAAAGTTAAGCTGACAATTTTTGAATATATTTTCCGCCTTTTATTTCCATTTGTATCATCCATTTTAAAAATGACAGAAAAGATTCCCACCCATTCAAACCGGACTGCCGTTCAAGCTTTATGAAAATGATTAGTGAAAAAGTCAAAGCATTTCAGCCAGCCCCTTGACGGCAGCAATGTGACCATCTGCCCTCCGTCGCAGGAGCTTCCAGCGACTTCTGGAAGGGCAGGAAGAGGGTCAGGAACACACACTCGATTCAGCACCCTGCTGCTGCCAGCCGTGTCCTGGGGCTGGACCCGGCTTTCCCTGAACACACATCTCCAGAGGAACGTACCGCACACTGAGTGTGCTTATTTGGGCCATGAAGAGGCTAACTACACACCTTTAGAAATAGTCCTCTGTGACACAGGTATGCCAAAAACCCCCACAAATCTGGAGAAAATAGATCTTACTCTCTGATAGATACCTCAGCGAGCAGTGAGTTTAATATGACAGCACAGCGTCTGAAAATGCTAATTAAAAATTAATTGCTTTGGTTAGACTTTCCCATTTAATAAAAGACTTTTTGTAAAGAATTTTGAACAGCTATAAATTCTCAACTTCAATCTTGAATTTCAAATACACGTTTTACTAAACTAAGAGTACAGAACACTGACTTCCAGTCGGCCACAGTTCGGTGCAGCTACTGTAGCTGAGGCCTCATCTTTAGTCCCCCAAAGTGCCAGGAATGGCTGCAGATTTAAAGGACATTTTAGAGATGGGCCAGCGAGGCCGAAGCAGGAAGGCAGAGCTGCATCACGGGAGGAAGAGCTTGGCAGTGAGCTCAGAAGGGCAGGAGAGCTAGGCAAAATGAAGAGGAGATGGATCTGGATGCTTCCCCTCCCCATCAGCTCTTCCTGGAGACCTTCCCCAGGGGCCACCCTATTCTCCAGAAGTAACTGCCCTTCCCATTTCCGGATGAAAAGAAACCAAGCGGGGAAGACCTGTTAGGGCTGCAGCATGTGAAGGCCACCGGGAAGAACAGGACCAGGCCAGAGGCAGCTCCTTCCCCGAGGTCAGCATTGGGGACTGGCACCCCGCCCCTCCCCCAGCGTCCTCTTGCCCTCACAGGAGCCCCTGCTCCCTGCCCACCCCTCCTACACCCAAGGAGGAAGCACTCTTGCAGCAAAATCAGATAAAAAGAAGGAAAAAAAGACCTGCATTCGACTTTTCATAATGATAGAATTTATAAGCAGAAACTCAGTACTTATTTCTGCTCATTATTCAGTTTTTCTTTGTTGCTGACTTTATGTTTTCTACATAGGATAAGTACTCTGCAATAATAATTTCTTCATCTTCCAGAGTGGAGTCAAGATAATCTTCTTCGTGTTCTGGAATATCTTCCAATATTTCATTGACGGCTTCTGTCTCCGTATCTTCATCTGTTGAGGCACTAGAGGTACCTGCAATGGAGTAGCGTGGTCACAGCTGAGCAAGGGGAGAAGGGCAGGAGGAGGAGAAAACGCCACAGAAGGACGGAGCTGCCCCACGTCCATGTCCCCAGGGCCCTCCCTGGCTGCGCCGCGCAGACCAGCGCCCGCACCCGGAGGGCAGGCCCTTCTCCCCACGGCCGCTCCGGCTAGCAGGCCGCTCTCAATTCGGATTTCAGAGAGCCCAGACCTACCTGCGGAATCGGAAGGAGATGTGGATGGCGTTGAGGAAGCGTCTTCCGCCGCGAGCTGCAGGTCAGGAGGAAGACTCCCCCCGTTGTGGGCCAGGGTCTGAGCGGCCAGCTGCACATTTCCCCTGAACACTCTCAGGGCAGCGCTGGCTGCCACCGCATCGAAGCCCATGTACACCAGCTAGGGGAGAACACGGGGCAGGGTGGGGGTGGAGAGTGGTGGCCGACACACGTGCAGCACTCCGGTCCACCCCCTGGCCAGCGAGCCATCGAGGCCCACATACACCAGCTAGGGGAGAACACGGTTGGGGGTGGGGGGCCGACCCACGTGCAGCACTCCGGCCCACCCCCGGCCAGCGAGGACAGCCCTACAGGCGATACATGTCTAACCGCTGGCGTGGACAGCACGGGCCTCCTGTCACACTGCTCTTGAGCGCACAGCGTGTGCCCGGCGCCGCCTGGAAGGATCGAGGAAGACTGAGCCCAACATGCCCGTGCCCGGGCCTCTCAGAAAGGCAACGGGCTTGTGGGCCGACACGACGTGCTCCTCCTGGAGACTAGGGCCTTTAGCAAGGCAGTCACAACAGGCTCGGTGCGCCGATGGGGGAGGGAGACATGGACAGAGGCGCCACGGCTGGTGGGTAAAGTACCGTGGCCTGAGAGAGGAGAAAAGCCCACAGAGAGAACGTGCAGTTGCTCTATTTCCTACTCTCGAAGGAAAGACCTCCTGCTCGCCTTCCACCAATCGCAGGCCGCGGGCTTGGCTGGCCTCCTACGGTGGGCCAGAGTCAGCCTGCAGCCCTGTCCTGCCACCAGCCTTGTTACCCAGGCCCCCCCCCACACACACACACAAGCTGTACAGGGGGAGGGGCGCAAACACATCCTCACTTACCTGGTCAATGTTTTCCTGGGAAGGACCTTCTTGATGGTTGTTGGTTTCAGGATCCGAATCATTTAACCACCACATCTGAGGATTACTAAGAAGAATCTAAAAACACACAGGAATTTACTCCTCACTCACACCTGCTCACCTACTCGGTGCTCGGCGGACAGAGCCACGGGACACACCAGCAGACAGGGTAGGGCGCTGGGGGGCACCAGGCAAAGGGTGTGAAGGAAGCAGAGAAAAGGGGCCCGAGCCCAGGGGCGGGGTGGGGATGCTGGTGTCAAAGAAGGCTTCCCGCAAAGGGAACATCGGAGTTGAGGTCTGAAGGAGGAGCAAGATGAGCCGGACAAAAGATCCCTTCTGAGGAAGCAGGAAGGGACGAGAGTGAGCGAGAGTGAGCGGGTGGAAAGAAACCAAGAAAACAGCCCTTGTGTCAGAGCTCAGCCTCCAGGGCGACAGGTCCTGCAGGGCAATAAACAAAAGCTTCTCGGGCCCTGCAGGGCTGACCCATGTCATTTCTCTTTGGGAGTGTCATGAGCTAGATTGAAAATGTCAAGGAAAGCAGAGCTTTTTGGACCCTTGATTTCGTATCACAGGATACCCTCTCTGAGCCTCACAAACCCTCGGGGAAATGTCCCTTTACCTACTTCTAGACTGGTGGCATGGGTCACAGTGCGACTCGTGCAGTCAAACCTATGGTGGGGCCTCATCAATCGCCCAACGCGGGCAGAACCTCCTGCCTTTATATTGTTCCAACACAGGAAGCCAAACTAGGTACTCAAATCCATTTATAAATTATATGTTTATATATGTGTGTGTCTATATGTGTAAACATATAAACATAAACATTTACTTGTGGAAACTTCTGAGAAATGGACAGGAGGTCTTGAGAATAAAAGGCAAATGCAGGGCAGGCTCCAGTATGAACTCCTCGGCAGGGCAAACAAGGGGACCCCTGCCCACCCGGCCCCTGGCCCCAGCAAGCACAGCCCCGGCAGCTCCCCAGGGCGCCCGCTCCCTTGCGCTTCCAGCCCCACGCTGCCCTGTGGCTGCTCGGAGAGGCACCCCGCTTGCCTGCCTCCACAACTCAGCTGCCCCCCTGCCCCCCACGTGCCGTGCTCCCACGCGGCGGCCTTTCCTCCGCTCTGTTCTGTCTCCCCAGTACTCTGTGGGCTCTATGTACTGACAGAGAGGCAACATGTACTGACTGAATCAATAAATAAAACGATACTCAAACAAAACATTTTAATTAAAAGAAAACTATACTAAAACTTTCATCACTATTCTCTTCCTCCACATCACTGCTAAACTCTTGGTGCTGCAAACAGAAACCTTACAGTTCTGCCCCGTGGGCTCTGCCATTCTGGCTCCATCACTGGGTTCGAGAACGAGAGACTGACCCTTAGACCTAAACCGGGACTGAGGAGAAAGGCCCTGGCAGTGGGGCTCCACGCACCACGGAAGGACACTGGAGAGGAGTGTAAGTGAAGGAGGGGCCCCTTGGCCCACAAACAGGGGTGCTCAGGGCAGGCCGGGGGGGGGGGGCGCTACCTTCAGGGCTTCATCCAGGTTCCCACTGGCCTGATGCAGGGCCTGCTTGGCCGCGTGAGCAGAGTAGCCCATTCCTTTCAAAGAGTTGATGTTCTCCAGCCGGCGTCTTTTCTTCTCTTTTTCCTCTTTCCTTATTTGGGCCAATTCCTTTAGGAAAAAAACAGTCACAGAGCTGGGGATTGAGATTCTATAAGAAGCCTGCTCAATCTCTGGTCTGTAGGATTCTTGGGGTTGCCAGGCAAAGTGAAAAACAAAAGAAGGGAGATGAACCTCTCTCTGGCCAATCAACAGTATGAGGGCTGCAAGGTAGGGGGCCCGGCGCTGCTCCTAGGGCAGGCCAGTGGGAGCTGGAGACCCCTTAGAGGTCCACGGCGGGAGGAGCGCGCCTCTTGGCGACCACCACCCAGCACCAGAACAGGCTACTCAGAACCAGGAGCTCATCGCTGCCAGGCCAGAGAAGTGGACAGACCCTCTTCCAGGGAGGGGGTAGAGGAGCTTCCTGCATGGCTGGGAGGCCTTCTTGGCCCCTGGTTAATTCCTGGGGATCTTGTTAAAATGTGGAGTCTGGATGGGTGACGGGGGGCAGTGTCCTGGGTGATACCAAAGCTGCAGATCTACCCACCCCACTCCAGGTGCCTCCTAGGCCCTATGAGACTGTTTAAAACCTCCAGAATGCTCAATGTCAGGAGACAAAGGTCATCTAATCCCACAGTTCTTGACCCTGAGTCTCAGAAGTGCCTTCTGTTGCTGCAAGAGCCTGAGAAGGGCTACAGAGGGTTCTAGCCTCTTCTCTCCCATCCCAACCCCAATCAGGAGAGTTAAGAATTTGTTTTAAAAACAAATGTCATTCAAAAAAACGGATTTTGGGGGTGCCTGGGTGGTTCAGTCAGTTAAGTGTCCAACTCTTGATTTCAGGGTCCCAACGCCCTGGCCCCCAACGTCCCCACACTGCCCTTGTCCTGCCCACTACACAACCACATAGGCCAGCGAAGCGATTCCGTACCACTCGCATTTCGACTTGGATTCGCACCTACCCGCCGCATACGCTGCTTCCAATTTCGGCTCTTCCATTTATAGTCCGAAAGAAACGTGCGGAACATTCACACACACAGAACGGTGCTGCTGGCCAGCAGACACCAGGCTCAGGTTTCATCCCACCCGGATCTGACCCAAAGTCGGAGCCTCGAAGTACTGTTCCCCTAAGTACGGGTGTCTAGGCCGCCCTCCTTTTAATCATGTAGAGACACGGGAGGAAAGTGCTTTTTCTGATGTTTCCCCTACACTAGAAACTGGACAAATCAAGCCGACGGGGCGGAGGATGGGGTAGCGCACTGCAGTGGAGGCGGCAGGGGAGACTTCCATGACTGGAGCTTACGGCTAGAAAGGGCTTGCGAGAAAATCGGTACCGACTTCTCGGAGAACACAGCGGCTCCACTTCTCAGTACCTCATCATTAACTCTCTCTCGACCTCAGCTCTTGTAAACGTAGCAACATTAGATACGGTAACAGGCCCTCCAACTCCAAAATCTATAAAGTTTTTTTTAATCTACTTATTTGTAATTGTTTCAAATGACTGCAGTTTTGTACCTCTGCTTTCATAATGTTAATTGTTCCTGTGACTTGACTCATGTTTCTAGCTGAGAATGCCGTCCCAAACTGTCACAATGGCTCCATGGGAAAACAAAGCCCCCTTTAAAATGGTTTCCAGAAATCTACCACGGTGGAGAGAGAGAGACATGAACAGACAGGCTACTTGGATAATGTACTTATGAGCTATGGCCACCACGGCAGGAAAGAAAATGAAGGAAACTGCACTGCCTGAAAATTAATGCAATTAAAAAGACAAATTTCTCCTGTTTCTTTCCAATCTGAAGTATAAGGAGCTCCTTGTGATTATAACTACCACAGAACACTATTTTTCTCTTCTTTCATACCCAAGAGCTATAGCATTTTGCAAACAGGCTTACTATTGCCTCAAGTTTCACATCTACGCAAAGGCCGTGACCCAGTGTCGCCGAGAGCACGTTAAGGTACCTCTCTGCGGTTGGTAATGTGGGCCGCCGCGTGGTCCACGTTCCCGTCACATGCCCTCAGGCCAAGCCGGGCCTCCTGGGCAGTAAACCCCAACTGCAACAGATTGTGAACTTTTGATGGATCAATATATAGCTCTTTAAAGAGTTGAAGTGCCTACAGACAAGAAAAAAAATACAAGAATCATGTAACTTTAACATTAAAGCTTAACACAAAGCTAAAACCCGAAAAAAATAAGCTTTGTACCCAATGTGAATTACAGTGTGTCAGATTTTTAGAGAAAAACTCTGAACTCTGCTTATTATCAGCTAGCTCAAAAAGAATAGAGACACCACTCTGCCCACGTGATGTATCGTAACGTAACAGAAGGAAACAGGTTGAGTATTATGGGAGCGGCTGGTATCCACTACCTGTTCCGTTTTTGTAATCAAATCCCCCGAATTTGAGCTGTGCACATGGCATTCCTCACCATCTCCTGCAACTGGGTGTAGCGAGGTGGTTAAGTGTAGGCCAGTGGCCTGTAGCAGGACTGACAGCCCCAACTTCTGGTCCTTCCAGAGGCAGCCTGGGACTCTCTCTTGCCCCCTCTGCTGGCTGGAAGAGGACTGGCTGCCACACACAGGTAGGCGAGGAGCTCACCTCTACGCTGCTAGATGAGACATGGAAACTGGCAGCCAAGTCAAGTCCCTGTCTTTTTGAGGTTTCCTCATTACAGCACCTCACCTGCACCCTAACAAATAGAAGTATGGTTCTGGCGTGTGTGAGGCAGAGGGCACGGGGGACAGATGCATGTTCCTCACTAGTCACAAACTACTGACTTGATGAAACACTGAATGTTTGGGCATGAAAAAAATGGCTACAACTTTGGAGTATTCATTTTCTTACCTTGTTGAGACAGTCACGAGCCTCTTCGCCATTTCCACTGTGATAATTTCGGATACCTTGAAGCAAGTAAAGTCTTAAAAACAATACCTTCTCTTTCCCACAGTTCCCCTAAAATTATTGGTGGGGGGAAAAAGGATAAAACTGTCTTATTTCTAATTACAGATCTGTAACATTCACACTTGTAATTCCCTTCATCTCTACGGGGGCATCCCTACAATGTTTAGATCTTCCCTTACTGCTGAGGGCAAAAGTAGAGATCCTAGAGGACAAGAACACCCCCTGTCCCACAAGGAAGAAATGGTGCCAGAACACCTGTGTCCAGGCACCCAGGACAGTGGTCCTTCTGGTCAGAAAGGAAGTATACAAAAACCCAAACCAGGGATGTTTTATGCTGCCCTGAAATTTCCAAGCAGAATTCTGATGACACAGCTCTTGAGCTGTGACTCACTCGTGTAACTGTTACCATTCAAAAGGCCTATTTTTTCTCCATTTAAATCTTCCATAAGATCAGCTCTCTTGGTCGGGGTGATCATCGACGGGGTTCTAGGCCTGGAAAACTGTGTTCCTCCAGCTAAGCACTGCACAGACCAAAGTTAACAGCCCAACTTGTAACACATTTCACAATCCCCTTCGAGGAGAGCTTAGAAAGAGCACCGTGCACACTACTATCAAATCACCTTTTGGCAGCAGTCTAAATTTTTTAACAGGAATAAACTCAAGTGGTAGAAATGGGCTCAATAATACATAAAACAAATTACAGTAACATACTTTTATGTGGACCAGTCTCTGATGGTTTTCTCCGTAACAATTCTTAAAGCATTTCTGAGCCAAGTTTAATTTTTTTTCTGCATCGTCGAGGCACTCCAGTTGTTCCAAGCGGAAGTAGCACCACACAATATCCAGCTGGAGCACCGCGTAGTTATCTACCGTGTCCAGCAGCTCCCTGCAGCACGCACTGCGGAGCCAGAGGAAACGACACCATGGAAAAGGAGCATTAAAAACCTTTCTGTGGATTACCGGAAGTCCTTCCCAGGTTCTGCTGTATTCCCAAAGACTGACTAGTCCACAGCACAGACCCCAATGTTTACGAAGGGAGCTCTATTTATAATCAGAATCCTCCCAATGGGAAAAAAGCAGTTAGGGCTCAGGAATAAGTTTAATACCACCCCCCCCCCGGGGGGGGCATAAACACACCCTTGCTACACTGGGAAGGAGGTTCAGCAGGAAGTGGAAATTGGCATCACCGTGTCAGAAAACATGAGGTCAGCAAACATGAGGAGACCACGGCTTAAACCAAAGGTTTCCAGCCCTGACTGCAAATTAGAATCACCTTGAAGTGAGGAATTTTTTTTCTTTTTGGGTCACACTGGTGCTGAGACCCCATCTACACCAAATTATAACAGAAACCTCTGGAGATAGGGCCTGGATATTGTATTTTGAAAATCTCCCTGGGTGATTCTAAAGTACAGCCAAAGTTGAGAACCAATGCTTTAAAGACCACCCCCCCCCTTCACTACTTACTGTGAATGCCTCAACTGATGAAAACAAGGCATTCATGTCCAATCACAGTCAAGCTGGGAGGAAAAACAATCCAGAAAATGCCAGGTCTAAATGCTTAGCTGAGCTGGGGACCCAGGCGCAGGCTAAATGCTACTCTGTAGCTATCCCCAGCTCCAAAGAAGGGGGGAAGACAAGACAATGGAATGTTGGCAAAGATGGACATCCAGCTTATTTATTCTGCTTTTAAAATGTGATTTTTAGAAATTCATAATGCACACCTAGACCTCAAGTCAGAACTTTGTCAACAAAAAAGGAAAACATTCGGAACAAATTTGAAAGGTCTTGCCTGTTTGTTTTCCTGGGTATTCTATTAAAGATAAGACCACTCTTGTATAAAACTGCAAAACCTACATGCCCTCAAGCTTCCCACCTTGCCTATCAAAATCCGCTTGGAAGAAACAAAGAAAAACCAAAGGACTGTGATGGTGTCATTTACACTGTGAAGCAGGAGTCTCCTGAGTGGGACAGTCTACTGGGATGCGGGAGAAATACACCAGAGCAGGCTTTTCAGTCACTTGCTGTATCTTTCTCTGTTTCTACCCCTGGTGAAGGTTGTGTAAGGTGCCCACTACATTTCATACACATGCACACACACAGGTCCGTGCCTGGGCGGGGGGCAGTGTCTCTGAACTGCCTGCTCAGCCTGAGAACTTGCCTTTGAGGAGGAGGAAAAACTCTGTGGACTGTGGTCTGATCTTACATTCTAGACTCCTGTTTCTGTGACAGATGATCCTGCCGTCGCTGAGAAAGCAGGGGACATTCTGTCACAGTTTTCGATGCCCTACCTGTGCGCGTGGGCTCATTTGTGTTTAATATGCATGAAGAGCAAGGACAGAAACTGCCTCATTTCAGGTAAAAACAGAATCATGTGTGCAAGTTCAGTCCAGAAGGGACTACTGTGCAGCATAAAAGCAAGCACAGGGGGGCGCCTGGGTGGCTCAGTTGGTTGAGCAACTGCCTTCGGCTCAGGTCATGATCCTGGAGTCCCGGGATCGAGTCCCGCATCGGGCTCCCTGCTCGGCAGGGAGTCTGCTTCTCCCTCTGACCCTTCCCCCTCTCATGCTCTATCTCATTCTCTCTCTCAAATAAATAAATAAAATCTTTAAAAAAAAAAAAAAGCAAGCACAGGTCTCAGACTAGCGAAGGACATGTCATTCTTTTAGTTTCAAAAACACTTTCTATTCAGGTAGAGGCCTATAAAAGGGATCATAAAATCAACATTTATAGTTAATACTTTTGAAACTATTAGGCCTGTATTTGAACCTGATCGTGTCACTCAGAAAAAAACAAAATGTTAAGGCCTTGTATAAAATTGTATCTTAGAGCATATTTTTATTAATACTGCCTTGGCTTATGGTTTTAGTAGTTCTCACACTCAAGGGTCAATGAGTTTTCTTGTTAAAAACATTAATTAAAATAAAAATAATAAAATAAATGAGCAACATTTATTTAAATTAAGCCTACTGAGCCTAGCTTTAGAAAAATTAAATCCCACCTGGGCTGAAGTCAGTTAATTAACAGAAATGTATTCTATTTGCCTTACGAGTTTTAAATTTTTACGTAAAATAAAGATACGAATTTCAAGAAAGGCAAGCTAAGCTTACGTATCTCCACTTTTTTTCTCAGGGAAGGTTGACTAAGAAGTCACTTTCAATCACTGGCTTGAAGGAATTGGATTACAGTGCGCCTCAGTGTGGTGTTTTTCCTATTTCTTGTACTTGGGACTCATTATGGTTCTTTCATCTGGGGGTTTACAATTTTCATCAAACTGGGAAAAATTCTGGCTATTATTCCTTAAGATTTTTGTGGGGGGGCCCAGCTGCCTCCTTCTTCAGAGACTACAATTATCCACGTATCAGGTCATCTGAAACTGCTTTACAATCTCTGGATGTTGTGTCCATTTTTTTTATTTTTGTCTTTTCAGTTTCCTGTTGGACCATTTCTATTGCCCCATCTTCGGACATACCCATCTTTTCTTCTGCGGTGTCCAATCTGCACTGAATCCCACCCAGTGCCCTTCGCCTCAGACACTGTGTTACTCATCTCTGCAATTCCAGTAGGGCTCTTTGGTGGACGTTCCGTGTCTACTTAACATGCTCCATCCTTCCTCTACCTTCCAGAACGTACAGAATTCGGTTATAGTAACTGTTTCAATGTCCTAGCCGATGAATTCTATCTTCCGTGTCGCTCCTGGGTCTGTTTGCATTGACTAGATTTTTCTCTTTATTATGGGTTGAATTTCTTGCTTCTTTGCATGACTGTTAATATTTAGTTGGTGACTGGATATTTCTGTATTGTGATATTACTGAGCTTTGTCTGGGATGCAGTTAAGTAACTTAAAAACAGGGTGATCCTTTTAAGGCTTGCTTTTAAGCTTTGTCAGCTTGGACCACAGCAGCCTTTAGAGATAATCTTGCCCTCCTGCTGAGGTAACACCCTTCTGAATTCTCTCTGTGATGCCCCGTGATCAAAAAGTTTGCTGTGGCTGGTGGGAGCACAAATTATTCTTGGCCTTCTGAACTCTGAAGATTGTTCTCTGCCCCTCTCCGGTGGTGTTCTCCCCTGCCTGGGGTGGTTTCCTCACAGGCATGTGTGGATCGTTACTCAACAGAATACTCCAAGGAGACCTTCTGAAGCTCTCGGACCTCCTCCCTCAGGCTGCTCTCCCCTCTTGCACTTTGGCCCGCCTGGATTCCTAGCTCCATTTCTCCAACTCCAGGGAGACCAGGAGGCCCCCGCTGGCTTTCTCGTGCCTGCACTGCAGTCTAGAGACTCTCTAGGCAGGGAGCAGAAACAATCACAGGGCTCCCCTAGTGTGTTTCCCCACCTTAGGAATCACTGTCCTAACCTGCCAGAGAACTGAAGTGTTCATACACTTTGCCCACATTTTCAGTTGTTGCAAGTGAGAGGGTACATCTAGTCCCTGTTAGTCCATCTTGGCCAAAGCAGAATTCCCACTTTCTGTTGTAAACAGGGAAAGAAAACTACACTTGGCCATACTACATACCATTCCCCAAGACGTAGAACAAAGTTCTGTCAGAACTTTCAGCCTACTTGGAGGTGGGAAAGGAAACAGAACTGAAGTCTCTTCCACCCACATCCCTGACCTGCGCTAGAGCTGATCTCCTTAACTAAGAGGAAAAACTCGCACTAAAATTATGCTAGTAAGTCAGCCTGAATAAGGAGAGCTTCAGGAAAAAAAAATGTCATTCTCTACGGAGACACTGACTATTACTGGGTTATTATATCTACTACTTACTGAACCTGTTAATGTACTGTGAACTGAAGATACAATTATTTTTATTCAGGGGTTCCTGGAGACCTGAAAATTATTTCAAGGATTTGTCTGGGATAAAAAGACTGAGAAAGGTTCACAGAGACAAATCAAAATCAGTGTCTCAGTAACTGCTGAAGCTGGATTAGAAGTGCACAGGAAGGCACCTGGGTGGCTCAGTTAAGTGTCTGCTCAGGTCATGATCTCAGGGTCCTAGGATTGAGCCCAGCATCGGGCTCTCTGCTCCTCCCTCTCCCTCTGCCTGCCGCACTCCTGCTTGTGTGCTCGCTCTCTCTGTCAAATAAATAAAAGCTTAAAAAAAAAAAAATATATATATATATATATATATAGGAATTCACTACACTAATCTTCATTTTTATATATGTTTGAAATTTTCCATAAAAATTACAAACAATTACGGAAGGAAATGAAAAATGCATCTGCGTCTGAAGGACCTCTGAGGCTGCACCACGTATGGCCAACGAGAATGAAGACAGCGCAGTCGCGGAGACAAAGAAGCAGAGTAAGAAAACCCAAGAGGAACCAAGCCTTGTTCCACTTACTTTCAGATTTGCCCCCTCCTCGCCAAACATCCCCTTTTTTGCTTAAGTTACTTTAAATTGGGATCTGTTCACTTAAAACCCAAGGGTGCCTGCTGCTAATATGGTTGGCAAACTATAAACATTTGTATTTATCCTCTTCAAGTGTACAGTGTATATTGGGAATTCATCAAAATGGAAAAGAAAATACCCTAAAGTTGTTAACTTTTCACCATTTTTAAATATCAAGGCTACTTTTCAAATGTTTCCTCTGCCAGGACTGTCGTCTCTCAGCACCATTTCCCATCAAGAGGAATCAGGAGCCCCTGGGAAACCGCTGATCCCTGGTCTGGGGCAGGAAACACGCAGGAGGAGTCTGGAACACCTTTGGACACCAGACACCACTGGGATCAGGTCAAAAGGGTGCAGGACAGGACCCACCGGTTGGCCACAGATGGTCAACTTAAGCACCGAGGCTTGAAACACATCAAATGTGTTAAAATCCGAGTTCACATCGATACTTTAAAAAAAAAAAGGAAAGAGAACCTCACTGGTGACATCCTCTTTGGAGAATTCTAGGGAAGCACCTCATTTATTCTGAAAATAAGAAGAAAGAACCAAGTATTTTATTCTTTCTGTACAAACTGTACCTCATTGTAACCAAATAGCCGATGAGGAAAAACACTTCTTTTCGGAGGAATCCCAGCAATAAACGCAGAAGGAAAAATAAGGGATCACTATTTTGCAGCCCCTAATGAAACAATGGATGTGGGGAATGGTCATCAACATCCACACCAAAACCACCCGGGGAAAATGATGGAGACGTATGACCATAGTGCAGGCCGACGACACGGCACAAAAAACAGACAGACCTCCTACGTGCGGGCTGTCCGTGTTTATAAAATTCTTTACAGGTTAATGTGAAGGGAGATTAGAAATCTGAAGGGATGAAATAATTCACAAACTGGTCTACATCACAACTACTCTCTTCACATTAACCACTGTCTTGGGTGAAAACCTCAAGTTTGAAGTGTACAGGGGGAAAGACGGTGCTGTGTATAATCTGGACTATCTTCCTTAAAACTGGTATTCACCAAGTACAAAAGTGCCTACCAGAAATATTTGTCAGCATCCAACAGACACGGCAAGGCTATTCCATATTCTTTTCTTTTCAGGAAAGCTCTGCCCTTCTCATGATATCCCATAGCTAACATAAGGGCCTAGAAAAAAATATGGATTTAAAAAAAACATCACTTTAAACTATAATAAAACAAGTTATATTAAAAGCATATCAAGTCTAAAGAAATCAAATAAAGATTTAAAAAAAAACCAAAATCACAACTCAATCCAAAAGCCAAAATTAAGAAAAATATAATCAAAGTTTCATTTCGTTTCAATGCTGAGATCAAGCACTCAATTTAATGTGGCCGACAGGGTCATAACTAGCACTTGTCCGTTTGTTTCCGTCAGTTTATTTTAGTATCTGCTGATTTAGATCTATTTCTAGTATCAGTAAGACTGAATAAATAAAAAAGTAGCTAGTAACGCTTGTATCTCTTTGAAAAAAAGCATTCATGGGGTGCCTGGGTGGCTCCAGTTGGTTAAGCATCTGACTCTTGGTTTCAGGTCAGGTCATGATCTCAGGATTGTGAAATCGAGCCCCGCGTCGGGCTCCACGCTAGAGCCTGCTTGGGATTCTCTTTACCCCCTCCCTGCCCTGCCCCCTGCTCATGCTCTCTCTATCTTAAAAACTACAAACAAAAAAAACCCCATTCATTTCACTTTCTAGTTTTTGTTTGTTTGTTTTGTTTTTAATAAATATTTGAGAGAGCGTGCAGGGGGGAGAGTCAGAGGGAGAGGGAGAAGCAGACTCCCCACTGAGCCGGACATGGACACGGGGCTCGATCCTAGGATCCTGGGATCATGACCTGAACCTAAGGCAGACGTTTAACTGACTGAGGCACCCAGGCGCCTCTCACTTTCTGGTTTTAATCAAGTTTTTTTTCTGAAGTATCTGTCAACTCTAGTATTCCTAAAACAATTTTTTAAAGGCAATCCATGGGTGCCTGGCTGGCTCAGTCAGTAGAGAATGCTATTCTTGATCTTGGGGCTGTGAGTTCAAGCCCCATGCTGGGCACAGAGCTTACTTTTAAAAAAAGGGCAATCCAAAAATGTTTTTAAGTTCATTAATATTTAAATTTGAATTTTTATATAATTCAGTCTTGTAATGGTTTTCCAAAAAGTCTGGATATCTTTTTTTTTTTTTTTTAAGATTTTTTAAATTAATCTCTACACCCAATGTGAGGCTCAAACTTACAACCCCGAGATCAAGAGTTGCATGCTCCACCAACTGAGCCAGCCGGGCGCCCCTGGATATCATCATTTAATATGTTGTGGGCAAATGATTACCAACATTTTAAAAACAAACAAGCATCAATCCACTGATAGCTACCAAGTTCTCTTATTAAAACTTAACTTTAATCCTTCATTTTAAACAACGTAAGTCATATAGTGAAGCCTACTCATACTTGTCCTTTAAAGACAGAAAAATTAAAATTGACTTGACCCATAGTCATTACAGCTCTTCATTATCGGAAGCTACTGGACTCCAGCTCAGATACGAATCTCAGGGTCCCAGCTGTAGAATGCTGCTGTGAAGACCCCCTGGGATGTGTTCAAAGAAAAAACTACCTCCTGCCTATTCCAAATTAGCAAACGGGGAAACGGGAAGGCAGGGGAGAGATGGCAGAATCACCTGTCAGACTTTTCCCGACTTGCATGCCCCCCTCCCCACCCCCAGCTCCCTATTCTGATCCATTCCTTAGAGGGCGTGGCCCTCTGGTGAAAACAAAAAAAGCAAACACCCACACCCAAACCAGCACTGCCACGGGGAGCCACCTGCGTGGAGGGCAGTGCATCACGTCCCTTGGGAATGTTCGGTCACTGCTGCAGGACATGCCATCGAGCCGTTCTGTTCTACTGCACTGACAATCACAGGCTGAGTCTGCTGGATGCAAGTGCCATCACAGGCTTCCATCCTGTTTAGAAGCTCCCATGGAAAACTGTTTCTAATCCTTTATGACAGTGCAAGATAAAATAGCTAGAAAACCACTTCTGTTCTGACAGCAAATCAACGTGCCAGCCATACATTTCTATAGTACCCACCTTTCTTTCTGAAGGAGGAATTCTGATCGATCTGCCTGTCTGGTTAGCTATGTCTAAATATGGTGTGGTTTCTGGATCCACCACCATCTCAGCTGCAACAAAACCGAAAGGAACTCCATTAATTCAACACTAGAAAGCAGTGATGGGACATTACGAGTATTAGACTGTGGGGAAGACAAGTCCGTAAGAACTGTGCCCACTGTGTGCACCCCCCCGGCCAGCGTCCCTTTACAGCCAGAGGGAAATAAAGAGCCCAGAGCTCTGTGTACCTCTCTCCGCCAGTATCTCCAGGCCTCTCTTGGTCCTCTGAATTCTTTTTTCTTTTAGTTCGGCCTCATTTTGCTCTTCTTCTTCAACCTGGAAGTGTTTCCTCACATCCTCTTCAGACTGTTTTAGTTCAAGCACCATAGCTTTCACATTGTGCATCACTCCTTGTTCTTCAAGGGTTTTCCCTGTAAAAATCCGAAATGCTTATCATGAAAAGAGCCATAAATGCACTGGTCACAGGCCATTCTGTTAAATGGAACTCTTAAACCCAAGTCAGTATTCTCGAGCCACCACGCCACATGCTCGGTGAGAACACATGACGTCTGGCTGTATAATTCTGTTACTGTTAAGCAGAAGGTAAAATCGGCCAGTGAATATTCATACCCTCTAATCGGAGAAATAATAAACCCAGTTCACAGCAAGAGATGAGAAGCCACAGTGCAGCGGGGCCCTGCGAGAGATAATTCACTGTGGCGGTTCGAGGCAAACCTCTTGGGTTCTTTTTAACTCTGTGGTCCTGAGTTAAAAAGGCCCTTACACCCAGGACCTTACAGATAAAATGTTACTAAAGATAGTGTCAGACATCAATGAAACAGAATGAAAGCATATTCACCAAATCAACAGCTGGTTCTATGAAAAATTAATCAAATACACAAACCTATCAAAAATTAACTCAAAGATGCAAATAAACAGCCACCCAAATGAAGAATAAACATAGATGCATATAGATTTTAAAATAATGAAATATTATGAACTATAAATATATAAATTTGAATACTTTTCTGGAAAACTCCGTTAGATTTTTTTTTTTTTTTGAGAAACTTGACAAACATTCTAACATTTATGTAGAAAAATAAAGATACACCAATGGCCAAGTCACCTTGATAAAGAAAAGCCAAGAACAGGACTCATCTTACTAGATTTTAAAACTACAACAAAACCACAGTCATAAAAAAACTCTATAGGTGAAGGTGGTCAAAAGGTAGAAACTTCCAGTTACAAAATAAGTCCACCCTGGAACGTAACATACAGCATGTGACTAGAGTTAATAATACTGTATTGCTGTATTGTATATTTCAACATTGCTAAGAGAGTAGATCTTAAAAGTTCTCATCACAAGAAAAAAAAACGTTTAACTATGTGAGTTGACATTATTGTGCTCACTCCACCATATATACAAACACTGAATCATTACGTTGTACACCCGAAACTAATATAATGTTGTATGTCCATTATACCCCAATAAAAAAAAAACTTCTGGGGTTCTGGTCCAGGAATAAACCTACAGGTAAATGGAAAGAATGAGAAGTGCAGAAATAGAGTTCTAATAAAGGGGGCACCAAGTATCAGTGTGGAAAGGGCAAGTTTAGTAGGTGATATCAGAAGAATAAAGCTGGATCCTTAGCTTGTATATATACAAAGGGGGCCTCTGGACAGACTGAAGACCTTAAGACTATCTGTGTGTCCCTGGGCTTGGGGAAAGATTTTTTTTTAAGATTTATTTATTTTTTGACAGAGAGAGAGAGAGACAGCAAGAGAGGGAACACAAGCAGGGGGAGTGGGAGAGGAAGAAGCAGGCTTCTTGCTGAGCAGGGAGCCGGACATGGGCCTCGATCCCAGGACCCTGGGATCATGACCTGAGCTGAAGGCAGACGCTTAACAACTGAGCCACCCAGGCGCTCCAGGGGAAAGATTATTTAACACAAATGATAAGATGGAAATTGACAGATCTGGTAACAACAAAATCCAGGATTTCTGCCCAGCGAAGAATATCACAAACAGAAGTGTCACAGAGATGAGAGGACAATGAAAAGCTATCTATGACATCTGAAAGAGATGATGGGGAATGGCTCACGGAGAAGGCAGGCTAGGGCCATGTGCAAGCTGTGTTCCACCAAGCTAGGATGTGAACCTGACTCTCTAAGCCCTAAGAACCTACTGGAAACCAACTGTAGTGCCTGCCTGAGTGGCTGCAACAGCTAACTGGTCTCCCAAGTCTGTTCATGCATCCTTCAAGTCCATTCCCCTACTGCACCCAAAGGGATGTTTAAAACCCAAATGTATCGTGTCACCCCCCAGCATCTGCGGCTTCCAGCCTCTCTTAGGACAAATATTCTAGCACTGCACGAGTTCACGGGGCCCAGGTTTTCTACACAGCAGCACTACTGACACTGGGGGTCAAGGGAATCTTTGTCGTGGGAGCTGTTCTGGGCCCTGTGTGATGGTTCAGCAGCATCCCTGGTCCTGACTCACTGAGTGACAGGAGCACAAGCCTCCATTCCCACCCCACAACCAAGTCATAATAACCAAAAATGTCTCCACACATTGCCAAATGTCCCCTGGGTGGCAAAATCGCCCCTGGTTGAGAACCACTGCCATAACCTTTTCATTGTGGCCTCTGCCTGGCCCTCCATCCTTAAAAAGCACTACCCTCCCCTCACTTTCTATACTCGGCTGTACTGGATCTTTTTCAATTGCTCAAACTGACATCAGGGGGCTCCGATATGAGGTTCTCTCAATCGGAACACGCCCCACTGCCCTCACTCAGCTTTAGCGCTTCTGCCTTGGAGAGAACTTACTGGAACCCCCGTTTCACTCTGAACACACCTACACTTCTGTTCTATAACATTTCCTCAGACATGTAATGAGCGTCTTTTCTTCCCACCAGCACAGAACAGACAGTAAATGCTGATTAGAAGGGTTGTTTTCTACTTTACGTTTTTATTTTAATAAGCTCTACAGTAATGTTTTAGATTATATATGCAGTAAAACCACTAGAAATTTGTAAATAGAAAAACAGTGAGAAAAAAGATGCAGTCATTACATCAACTCGACAGAAAATCTGCACTTTGCCACGACATACCTAGTTGAAGCTGTTTCTTGTTTATGACAATTTTGATATAATTTTCTTGAAATCCAAAGGTTTCAGCAATTCTGTAAAATAAACCGGTAGAGGCTGCAGGTAATCAATTTATTATTATCCATTAAATAGAGTTTAATCATGACAGCTATTTTAAACGTTTCACTCAGAAATGCCCAGTATTTCAATTTACTGTCTCCCAGACATCACTTACGACAAAGCCAGCCTACTAGATGGTTATTTGAAACTGTACGAGACAATGTTCTTTTTTAAACTATCTGCTTTACTACTTGTTTCCTTATGAAGTGGAGACCACTCGTGCGGAATATCCATCTGAAGAGGAGGGCCCTGGCTGCATGTCAGGAGAAAATCCATTCTCTATACTTTCTGCGGTCTCCTTGAAGGAGCCCATAATAGAGGGTTGTTCCAAACAATCTTCCACTCATGTGTGTTGAATGAATGTTGCTTCCTGAATCCATCCCTAACAGCCCTGATGTAGACCAAAGAAAATGAGAAAAATCAGCTTCAGAAACAAGGGCTGGCTAGCCCTGGAGGTACTCAAAACACTTACCATTTAAAAATACAGAAGTGGATGACATAACCAACAACCAGCTCTCAAAAGTGAGAATGTCACTAGTACGTGACAGGTATTTTTTCTTTTTACAGATGGGCCAACAGCCTGAAATTGGCTAAAACACTTTGCTGGATGTCACAGCAAGTTACGAATGCACTAAGAAATAAAATTCAAAGCTAATGATCTGATGAATATCAGGCTACGTATATCACTCATTGATTGATTCAAGCATGTTATCAAGTACCTGTTAAGTGGCAGGCACAGAGCTCCCACTGGTCTCGTTATACCAGGAAATGAAGGCAAATGGTGCCAGTCTTGAGTTCTCACTCTGCCCTGAACTGCCAGTGTGAGCCTGATCACGTTCTGTAACCGCAAAGCCTCAATATTCCTTTCCACTAAGTGAGGAGAATAGTACCTGCCCTATCTCTCTAACAGGATTGTCGCAAAGGATCCCATGAGCCACTGTAGGAGGGCCGAGAGCAGCTGGGGCACCGGGCAGACAGATACTTACTTCGACCTCAGTTCTCTGCCAGTGATGTGCAGTCGGGTCTCCAACAGGTTTTTCCTATCCTATTTAAAAAAAGGCAAAGAAACTGTACAGAAGGAACTAGAGGGTATCATGCTAGGCAAAACAAGTCAGTCAGAAAAAGACAAATAACCATATGATTTCGCTCACATGTGGAATTTAAGAAACAAAACAGAAGGTCATAGGGAAAGGGAAGAAAAAAATACAGTAAGATAAAAACAGAGAGGGAGGCAAACCATAAGAGACTCTTAACTCTAGGGAATGAACTGAGGGTTGCTGGAGGGCAGGTGGGTGGGGGGATGAGATGATGGGGTGATGGGCATTAAGGAGGGCACGTGATGTGATGAGCACAGGGTGTTATATGCAACTGATGAATCACTGACCTTTACCCCTGAAACTAATAATATACCCTATGTTAACTAAACCGAATTTAAATTTAAAAATTTAAAAAAAAGGAAGAGAATGTACTTCAGCGTGACACTTTCTGGTGCTGTTACTCCGTCTATAAAATCAGGAAGGCTGGTATCAGAAAATGTTAAGGACTGAAGTGACGCATGCCTGGCAGAGAAGCTACTGCACATGACCTGGCACATGCTGACCCCGTGACCTCGCAGCCCTCAAGGGGGCAGAAGTGTGCACCCCAGGCCGGGTTCCAGCCTCCGGGGGGGAAGCAAGATGTTCAGAGGGATTTGTGACGCGTCTTCATTCAAGGGAGCTAGCCTATACGACACAAGGGCCCCGCCCGCCACCTCAGCACCACAGCCACCCTCAGGGAACAAGACACGTTCCCTTGCACCATGCCCACTGAGCAGGGAGTGGCAAAACGCCATCTTGGAACCTCTTCATTCCCCACTGGCTGGGCGTAGGAGGAAAAACTGGAATCACTAGGAAAGCCTAGGAGACCATGCGAATCTGCTCAGATTCCACACTCGCCAACCAGCCTTCTGACTGGTGGTCTGGTTTCCCAGGTGCTGGGTACTAGCAAAGAGGAGGCCTATCAGGTATATTACCCTTTGAACTCAGGAACGGGCATCCTCAGGTAGATTCATATGTAATTTTCTTTTTCTCATAAAACTCTTTAATTTTCCTAGAAATTTTTTTTTTTTTTAAGATTTTATTTATTTATTTGAGAGAGAGAGAGAATGAGAGACAGAGAGCATGAGAGGGAGGAGGGTCAGAGGGAGAAGCAG